TCGCCGGCTGCCAGCCTGGCTTGCCCACGACCCATTGCTTCACCACAGGGAGAAGAGCGTCTTGCTGTCCTCCAACCGCAAGCTGGAGAGGAAGGTGAAGGAGCTGACCATCCAGATCGATGACGAGCGGCAGCACGTCAGCGACCAGAAGGACCAGGTGGGTGGCAGACGGGAGCCCTCAGGGATGCCGAGCGGCTTTGGGACCCGCCTAAGGGACCCTTGGGTGCTTGCCCCGCACCAGCCATCCTAATCCCATGGGAATTGCCCTGTCTCCCCGCAGCTGAGCCTGCGGGTGAAGGCCCTGAAGCGTCAAGTGGATGAGGCGGAGGAGGAGATCGAGCGGCTGGAGGGCGCCCGCAAGAAAGCGCAGCGGGAGCTGGAGGAGCAGCACGAGCTCAACGAGCAGCTGCAGAACCGCATCAAGGCGCTGGAGAAGGAGGCTTGGTAGGGAACGCCGGGCTGGAGGGGGGTCCCAGCCCCGTCCCCGGGCAAGGGCTGACCCCTCTTCTCCATCCCCAGGCGTAAAGCCGCCCGCTCGGCTGCCGATTCCTCCCTGCAAGACGACCAGCTCAGCTCGGACGAGGAGTTCGACAGCGCCTACGGGCCCTCCTCCATCGCCTCGCTGCTCAACGAGGCCAACCTCCAGACCAGCTCCTGCTGACGCCCGCCCGCGCTGCCCCGGCTGCTCCATCCCGGAGCGGGGCCGCGTCCCGAGAGCCGGGCCGAGGGACTGGCCACAGATGCAGCTGCTCGATGCAAAAACTCTTCTAATACCAACGACATGAAGGAAGGTGCTGCTCAAAAAGTAGTGGGATGGGGAACGCCCCCCCCACCGGACGCTGTCTCGCCTCTTTGTCTTCATACGGGTCTCAGGGTGTGTTTGCACCGTGGCTTTTTGCCCCGGGGGGAGCTGCTCACCACGGCCCCCTTGGTGACCAGGTCCCACCGGGACACCATGGCCCTGGGGACCAAGATACAGCCCCAGGGGATCAGGCTCCCATGGGGGCAGCCAGAAAGCGGGGCCGGAGGGGCTGGGGGCACCCACGGCTCTGGCCACCCTGGTTTATTTTTATATGCAACTGCCCTTCGTCCCCCCTGCTGCCCTTTTCCCTCTCCAAGTGCTATTTTAAATAAAATTGAGCATTTTAACGCCTGCGGCTCGTCCTCTATCCAGGGCCGGAGGGATGGTGCAGGCTCCGGCACGTCAGGCTGTGTGGTACCAGACTCCTGCCCGGCTAGGGGAACACAGCTCCTTCCCCGCTCTGCTGGATCTGGCCTGGAGATAAATCCTCGTTATCACTAATTAACGGGGATGGGAGCCTTGCCAACTGCTAATTAGCGCCATTGCGTTGATTGGCAGGTGGTTACCACAGTTCCCCTCCGTGGCCTCGAGCGGGGCCCAGCTGGCTCCATCCCCAAGCCAGCGCGGGGCTGGGACGGTGCCCAGGGAGCCGGCCAGCACCATCCCTGCTGCCTCAGTTTCCCCTCCCGTGCCCCGGTGACGTTTAACCGGGATGGAGCCAGCGGGGATGGACGCGGTGATGACACCAGGGACACCCCTGTCCCCTCTCCGGTCAGTACTGGCCACGTCTCTGCGTCACCCCCGCCCAGGGCCGTGCCAGGCTCAGCGTGCCAGGCACCTGGCCCCGCACCCACGGCGTCCCCAGTGCGGCTAAACCAGGCCGGCACAACTGGTTCTGCCCTCAGCTCCTCCCGGACACGCGTGTCAGAGCTGAGGTCAACCACCATCCCCACCCTGTGCCTCAGTTTCCCCAGCGGCTGCTCAGCCCAGCCAGGCGGCAGGGGCCCCACTGTGCCTCAGTTTCCCCTGAGGGCATTGCAGCGGTTCGTGGGGGACTTGGGGGCCATGGGGTGCCCAGGGGGAGGAGGCACCGGCTCCCACGGCTGGGCGTGACCGAAGTTTGCTAGTCCCCGGCTTTGCCACCGGCAGCCAGCCCCGAGGGAGCGGCTTCCTCCAGCCTGTAGAAAATCCCGCTGCCCCAACCCCTCCCCGGGACAGGGTGTCCCCACCCCGGGGCCGGACCGTGACCTCGGCTTTGCCCCCGCGGCACCACCC